CAATTTTTTTTTTTTATATTTTTAAATATTTTTTTTTTAAAAAAATTAATTTTATCCCATGTGTTGTTAAGTTACACTTCCAATTTAGTTGGAAAGGTTTTTCAAAAAAATGGCTGTTTAAATTTTTTTTTCATTTTAGGGGGTATTTCATTTGGCCGTTTAGGGACTTTAAGAGCCATTAAAATTTCCGCCAATAAGATTGGGTGGGAATCATTTTTTAAAATAATTTCACACCTTTTTTTCCCTTTCTACCATTTAAAAATAAAATCCCTTTATTAAAATGGTTTTTTGCTTCCAATTTGTATATAATTAATATATTTAGGGGGGTTAGGGGTTTTTAAAATGAAATCAAGCTCTTCTTAAATTGGGAATTTTCAATTGTAAATCAGCAGATTCAGAGCGCTTTAAAGCCTAAGCTCTGAATAATGATTGATAACATTTTTATTAAAATTGATAACTTTTTGGGATTCTATTTATTAATAGTAATATTCTTAAATTAAATGGGTTTTAAATTAAATTTTAAAAATGAAAAATCAATTCTCTCTTAATTTAAGAGCATTATATCATCAAATAAATCTTTAGTTATACTAGCTTTGCAATCTACATTCAAAGCTATTATCGAAATTATAATGGTGCCACTCTGATTTCACAATGATAAGATAGTAGGAAGATGATGTAAATGAACAGTAATGTAATCAAGAACTACAAAGATGGAGTATGGCAAAGATATTGAAATATTGAATGCTACAAAAGAGAAAAATATAGTTTTAAGAAAAGATGATTTACAAGACAGAAATTAAGAGTGCTGACATAGTTTTGTATGATCTTTGGTGTTCATCTGGGCTATCTTATTAAAATATGTTTAAAATACTCAAATTTTTTTCCAATTCTATTTGAGATAATGAGGTTTATTGATAAGCTTTATTCCTATTATTTGCATTTCCTAAGATAACTCTTTGAAAAATAAGTTAAGTTACAATATAATAATATAAACCATTTAGGACTGAGATAATACTTAATAGAGTTTTCAGATTATATTTTATGGATTTATTACTTTCAAAAAACTAAATTAAAACATTATTATGAAGAATTTCAAAACAAACCGATTCATTAAAATCAATATTTCTAAAATAAAATTTATTTTCTTGTTCAAAGGCTCAGATTATTCCTCAGCTCTAGTGGTGTTATGATGAGAACTTTGCTTTCTCACTTAAGTTTCGTTCCATCATTATTCTTCATTTGGAGAAACTCGTATGGATAGTAATACGATTAAGTTGGAATGTTTTAATGATAATTCCTTAGTATTCAGACATTATATCTTCAAATTGGCTTGATAGAGGATGATTGACTTATTAAATTCAAATTGTTGAACTTATATGTTTGATAAAGAATATTTGAGGAAGCAATATTAGATAAACAATAAAGACATCTAGACCAATCTTTAAAAATCATGAAAAGAGATGATATTAAATTTAATGATATTGATATACGATCATAATTTGATAAACCTTTAATAATAATTATAATTAGACATTTTCAATCAATATAAAGGAGAATCTAAAATTTTAATTAAATGATTTAATTCTAATCACAGTTGTTGAATAATTTGCTAATTTTATTAAACTATAAATT